GTAGTGGTAGTGGTAGTAGTAGTAGTAGTAGTAGTGGTAGTAGTAGTAGTAGTAGTAGTAGTAGTAGGAGTAGTAGTAGTAGTAGTAGTAGTGTAGTAGTAGTAGTAGTAATAGTCGTAGTAGTAGTCGTAGTCGTAGTCGTAGTCGTAGTCGTAGTAGTGGTGGGAGGCATGGCAGTCGCACCATCGTGTCCCTTAGTAGTCTTAGTCGTATTGGAATTTGTTTGCGTTTTCGTAGATGTTGTGTTATGCCCATTTGTCTTTTCTGTTATACATGATCGATATTCCTCCCATTTCTCCTTCTCCTCCTCGTCTTCCTCCTTCTCCTCGTCCTCCTCCTCCTCTTCCGTCTCCTCATCATCATCATCGTCGTCCTCCTCCTCGTTTTTCTCCTTCTCCTCCTCCTCTACACAGCTCCTCCGCCTCCTCCTCCTCCTGCCTCCCATGCTCGTCGTCGCCCTCCTCGTCTTCCTCCTCCTCCTCCTCCTGCTTCTGCTCCTCCCTTCTCCTCCTCCCTCCTCCTCCTCCTCCTCCACCTCCTCCTCCTCTCTCCTCCTCCCCCTTCTCCCCCTCGTGCTCGTCCTCGCCTCTCCTGCCATCCTCCTCCTCCTCCTCCTCCTCCTCCTCCTCCTCCTCCTCCTCCTCCTCTTCCTTCCCTCGTCCACCTCCTCCTCCTCCTCCTTCCCTTGCCTTCCTCCAGCGTCTTCTTCCTCCCCGTCCTCCTCGCGCACGTCCCTGGCCGGGGTGGGCCCAGGAGTGGCCGGCCCCGTCGGCGAGCCTTCTGCGGCCTGCCCCTTCCGAGCGGCAGGCAGCTCCCGACTCCTCCTGGACGCTTGCGTTGGCCCTCTCGGCCCCGCGCCGCCCAGGCCGCGCCGAGTCCCGCCCGAGGGAGCTCCTCCTCGTCCTGCTGCTGCTGCTGCTGCTGCTGCTGCTGCTGCTGCTGCTGCTGCTACTGCTCCTCGTCGGTGTCCTCGTCGCCGGCCTCCTCGCCGACCTCGCCGGCTCCTCGTCCTCCCTCTCAAACCCCCCTCTCTTGCTGTCCCCCTCGTCGTTGTCCTCCTCCTCCTCCTCCTCCTCCTCCTCCTCCTCCTCCTCCTCCTCCTACTACTACTACTCCTGCTGCTGCTGCTGCTCCTCCTCCTCCTCCTCCTCCTACTCCTGCTGCTGCTCCTCCTCCTTCTCCGCCTCCTCCTCCGCCCTCCCCTCCTCCTCAACCTCCTCCTCCCCCTCCCCCTCCTCCATCCCCATCCCCATCCCCCATCCCCCCCCTCCCCCTCCCCCCCCCCCCGTCCCCCCCCCTCCCCCTCCTCCTCCTCCTCCTCCTCCTCCTCCTCCTCCTCCTCCTCCTTCTACTCTCCCGCCTCCTCCTCCCTCTTCCTCCTCCTCCTCGTTCTCGTCCTCCTCCTCTCGTCATCGTCCTCCTCCTCCTCGTCCTCCTCCTCCTCCTCCTCCTCCTCTCCTCCCCCTCCTCCGACCCCTCGCCCTCCTTCCCCTCCTCACCCTCCTCCTCCTCCTCCTCCTCCTCCTGCTCCTCCTCCTCCTCCTCCTCCTCCTCCTCCTCCCGCTCCTCGCCCTCCTTCTCCTCCTCCTCGTCCTCGTCCTCCTCCTCTTCGTTCTTGTCCTCGTCCTTATCCCTGCTTGTCGTTCCCATCCTCGGCAAGGCTGGCGGGAACGGAGTGACCGCGCTGATGCACCAAGGGCTGGAGGCTCGCTCTCCTTCGCGGACATCATGAAGGGAAAGAGGAATGGGAGGAGGAGGACGAGGAGGAGGACGAGGAGGAGGAGGAGGAGGAAGAGGAGGCTACTTACGACGAGGAGGTGGAGGGGAACGGGGATGGGGACAGGGAGGGGTGGGCTGGAGGGAGATGATGGGGGGACAGTGGTGGTGGGAGGGGGGGAGGGGGAAGGAGCAAAAGGAGAAGCAGCATAAAGACAAGGGGTGATGATGACGATGTTTTCCTCATAGTGTTTCTCCAGAGGTTTCTCATAGAGATGAACAATTTCTTTCACCCGAATCTCCCCAGAGGGTGACCGGGGGAAGGCGTCTCCAAGGCCCGGCGGCGGCCCTGCAGAGCGGCACGGCACCGGGGGGAGGCGCCTCGCCGGCCGGCGAGGCGCCTCCCCAGGGTGCTCTGGCTCGATGTCGGCCCTCGCAGGTCCAGAAGTGAGATTCGTTGTGGTGTTCTGTATCGGTTTGGTGCAGAGATGAAGCTCACTGCATGTGCTGGTCCGATTTTCAGCCCTCCCAGATCCAGAGATCGACTCACCGTGGTGCTCTGGCTCGACGGGGTCCAGAGATAGGCTTCACTAGGGTGTTCTGGCTCGATTTCACTGCAAATGTTCTTCCCACCCGAATCCCACAGGGGGGGCCGAGTAATCTAGTTCGACTTTAGACATCGTAGATCCTGCAATGAGATTCACTCTGGTGTTCTGGCTCGATTTGGTTTAAAATGAAGCTCAGTAGTGTGTTTGGGCTGGATGTCAGCCCTCCCAGATCCAAACATTAGACTCACTATGGTGTCCTGGTCCCGATACGAAGCTCACTATATGTTCTGGTTCGATCTCAGCCCTCGTAAATCCAGAGCTGAGAGTCATTCTTGGTGTTCTGGCTCGCTTTCAGCAGTCGCTGGTAACGGAATTGCGGCAGGGCATCGGACTTTCACCATTCCAGCTGTCCTGGGTCCAGAAAGTGTGGCAGGGCCCTTGGCTTCACACCATTCCAGCTGCCAGGACTGGGGTCGATCGCTCCCTCATGTTGTTCGACGCGCGTCCACGTCATACTTTCGACATCACGAGCGTCACCCTCGTCAACAAGTTCAGCTCCGCAACCTTACACATAGTTCACGTCTAATTATTCGAAAGTTCGTTGATTTTTTGGAGCCAAGATCCTTTCATTTCTAATTGTTCTATCCTGGGCCTCTTCCTGGCCACTAGGCGGCAGGAAAAATTAGAAACGATCACAAGTAGAAATGAGCACGATTAGAAATGAACGACGTGCACCGGCAATATGATGAGGTCGTTGTTGCAAGCCCACGTTTCAGGCGCCCATCCGCCTCCACACCTCAGCTGCTATTTGGGTGCGTTGCCTGGGGTATTCAGCATCAACTCCACACTAACCGGACATATACCTGGCAGGTGGGGGGGGCTGCCAGGAGTGAGCTTTTGCTAACAGCCGCACGAAAGACGTGCCCAGAGTGAGTTCGGGCCGCGTCGGGTGGAGCCCATGCATACACTTGCTACGCCTAGCTTTGCATTGCCTCTTCGATTTCTCGGTGGCAGAGCGATACTGGATCTCTGCAGGACGCTTTCGGCATGTGTTTGTTTCACGCTTCGCGTGCCCCCCCCCATCCTCCAGGAACGATGCCATCGGGGAGTTGCCTTTTTCGGGAGAGCGTGGCAGCATCTGGAGAGCCTTGCTGAGCTCGAGGCCTAGTGGGTGCCACTCGGACTCGCTTAGGATGTCTCCTGACAGCCTCTTGGGGGCTCTCTGGGGCCCTGGGGGCGTCTCTTGGGGCCCCCTTGGGGTCTCCTGGGGGCCTCTTGGGGCCTCTCATGGGCCTTGAACATGATCTTGGGGCAACCTTGGAGAAGTTCGATCAAAGAAGGGTGGGGCCCCTTGCTAGTTCCTGCGCGTCGCCTCTGGAGGCTCTCCTGGGACGCTCTTGCGGTGCTACTGGGCTGCCTTGGGGGCCCTGTTAAGACCATTTTGGGTTTTCGTAAGGCCATCGGAACCGAAAGGATGAGACAGCAGCACGCATTGACTGCATCATGTTTCGAAGGCTTTGGGAGTATTGGGGGCGTCCTGGGGGAACCCCAAAGCCACTTGGACCTGTTTTGGAGCGGTCTTGGGGCCTCTCGGAGCATGTCGGAGGCCACCTTGAGCCACCTTGATCCGTCTTGAGCCATTTCGGAGGTCATCTTGGCGTCTCTCAGGTCCTCTTGGAGCTACCTTGGGCCAATAAGGGCGCTCGAACTACCCGCGAAACCCTTCGTCCAGGTCCAGGCGGAGGGGGCAGGGGGAGGGGTCCAGCTGCCTCCCCCGAAAGACGGCCGCCTCGCCCACCCCCACCCGACCTCCCACCACATCCAGTACGTCGTCGCCGCTTTCTCCCCGCAGTTCGCCTTCCTCCACCTCCCTCGAGCCATGGGCCAATTCTATTCGACGTCACCGCGGCCTCCCGCGCACGTGAGCGTCCGTCTCCCGCAGCAGAAGTCGCACCCGAGTCTCAGCATGGGCGGGGACCACCAGCGACAACCATCGGGGACGAGTGCCGACGCTGGACAGATGCGCGACGCCTGCGAGGTGCGCTGCGCGTGCCGGGGCATCCTCCATCACGCCGTCAAGTAACAGTGCAAAGTGATCGCGATACGCCCGCGCATGACAAGGAGCTTGCCGCAAGCTGCATTTAGCATGTTTTCTGATATGGAGATCGTTCTTTTCTCACCTCCGGACGTAACGCGTGTCACACTCATCCCGCCCCCCCCCCCCACGTAACGGTGACACGGGGAAACCGGCTACAGGCGTGAACGCGTGCAGTTTCTTCCCCATAGAGGAGGAGGAGGAGGAGGAGGAGGAGGAGGAGGAGGAGGAGGAGGAGGAGGAGGAGGAGCAGCAGCAGCAGCAGCAGCAGCAGCAGCAGCAGCAGCAGCCCGGGCAGCAGCAGCAGGAGGCGGAGGAGGAGGAGGAGGAAGAAGAGGAGGAAGGAGGAGGAACTGTGTAGGAGGTGAGGAGGGGCAGGAGGACCAGCGCGCAGACTGATGAGGGGTTCGGCCGTCCAGGGCCACAATCCACTACCCCCCTAGGGGGCTTTCCTGGCAAGCGAGATCGACCTCGGAGGCAGGCGGATTGCTCATATCACTTGAAAAGTCCCAGGCGCCACTGCCCCCACTCGGATTGCCAGTCTCGTGGTCGGTGGGGCTCGTCTCAGCCAGCTCTTTGACCAGCTGGGCCAGTGGGATCGGTGAACGCAAGACGATTGGTGAATTCGCGGCCCCTTTGGGATGTCTACCCTCCGCAGCCCTTTGCTTTTGCAAACGTCTGCAGTGGTTAGGGGGCTCGCCGGGACAATCGTCTGCTAGCCCTCTGGTGCTCTCTGTAAAAGCTCCACAGGTCCAGCACAAAATCAAACTTAGGGACTGCATGCGCCTTCGTAGCCAAAGATGTACAGCTTGTGGCCTCGTGGATTGCTCGCTAGGTTACTGTGGTGCTCACAATAGCCAGGGCATTCCACTTGGTCATGTCTAGCCTTAGCTGCGCTGCTAGCGCAGCTGTGGCGGCAGGCTGCACATATGAAGCTCTTCCCCCAAGGGTGCCACTGGTGCTTTCGACATAGAGGATCCGAAGCGAGGGAGGACCTCGGCAGAAGGGGGGGGGAGGTACCAGGCCCCATGACAGGCCAGCCGACGCGGCCCCAGTGGGCGGGTTCAAACTCTGCATCGGCTTATCGAAGGCTTTGGCACCGACCTTGGGGGCTACTGGCGGCCATAACTGCAAAGCTTCAGAAACGTATGTTAAACATTTAACCAATAGTTGGTTCTGGGCTTCCTGCAACTCGGTCTCTTGCAGACTCGGTTGATAGGCTCTAGCTGCGGCGATCTTCGCATATCTGTCGGCAGCGTCATTGCCCTTGGCGCGCCGCCACTCAGGACTATACTCTGGGAGCTCATCTAACTTGACGTGCGCTTTAATATTGTTTAAACGCGGGCCCAAGGGGGTAGCACAAGCGCCACCTTGGACCTTGAAGGCCCCATAGTAATCAGAACGCGAAACACTTTCCTTTCGGTGCACGTCTATGGCTCCTTGGTAATCCACAAACATCTGGGCGTGTGGGTGCACATTGAGACCAGCAGCAAGCACAGCACAGTGCTCAGCAGCGGGGGAGGAAGAGGGGAGGTATTTGCCCACACGCCCAATGAGGTAGGCAAAAACTTATCCGAAGCCATCGATAGCCACCACTGACCAACCAGCTGCGTTATAATTCTTGTGCCCTCCAGGTTTTAACCAGGAGCCGACGGTAAAAACTTCACCAGCAAGGGCCTCGTGGGGCTGCATACTGGGGTCTCGACACCAAAACTCAGCAAATTCATACCCAAACCCATCAGGAGCCCCTGTTTCGAATTCAGGCTGGAACTGGAATCCGTACGCTACAGCCTGATCCGTTACCCTCGAAATCGTGTCTGGCTCATCCGCTGTGAACGCGCCACGGAGCTGGACACTGAGCGAGCACTGTAAAAATCGGTGGCGCAAGTCGTCGCACTGGTGCCCGCACTGACATTTTCCGTCGGAGTCGTACCCAGTTCGTTGCAGCCTCGCGTTGGTCCATATTTTCTGGGTGAGAAAGCTAAGAAGGGTGGATCTGGTTTTCTTTGGCAGCGTCTTTCCAGCCAACATTTTTCGGGCGATACTGGCGTCGAGGGTCCCCTGGGGGTAACCTAACTTCCTGGCAGCCTTCCTGAGGATGGCCTGCTCCCAGGCCTCTTGCATTTTCTGGGCTATCACTATGGGGGTGCATGTTGTGAGTGGGTACCGACACCCATTCGCATCCTGCACCTCCAAAACAGAAGCAAAGCTCCAACCTATCCGTCGACGGGACAGACAGGCGGCCCCAAAGGGGCCTCTCTCGGCTGTCCACTTACTAGGCTGATTATGAAGAATTGGCTCTGCTAGGCTTTTCAGTTCCAGTAGTTCTCGGGAGTGGCTGGGTCC